CTCTGTCTTTCGGGGGGCCGCCCGCCCCCTACAGCAAACCCCTCTCAAAAAAAAAAAAAAAGCATGATGTTAAGTCTCAGATTCAGAGAGAGTTCCAACACTCTCAGAGCGGTAAGCCTAGTGCTCCTGATTTGTATGATTTAGCTTGCTGGCTCACAGAGAAAGAGACGAAACAGGGACCAGCAGGTGGCATGGTGGTTAAAGGCGCTGGACTCCCACATGGCCAATCACAGTTCGAGTCCCAGACCTGGTGGCTTGCTTTCTCACTTTCCCTCTCTCTTTCTCTATCTCTCGCTGATCAAATAATAAATAAAAGTAAATAAATAATTCTTTTTTAAAAATAATTATTTAACTTTATTTATTTATTTATTTTAATTTGACCAGAGAGAGAGAGAGAGAGAAAGAGAGAGAGAGAGCAAGCCATTAGGTTCGGGACTTGAACCGCATTTGGCCATGTGGGAGTCCAGCACCCTTGACCACCATCCCATCTGCCGGCCCAAATAAATAATTCTTAAAAAAAAAAAAAAGAGAGAGAGAGAGACAAGGCACAAGCAGGAAAAAACTGCCCAGCACAGGAAGCCCACACAATCCTGCCAGCAGCCCGTGGCTCCTGAGCTACATGTTGGCATGGAATTCACAGAGGTTCCAGTCCACCTGGAAGGGACGCTTTCCAGACTCACAGTGGGGACCACATTCCCAAAGTTTCACTTCAAGAGGACTGGAAAAGATGTTTTATAAGCCCTGTTTTTGTCTTTGAATGGGATCCTACCCATCAGGTGCCACACCCCTTCTTTGCAATGCCTCCAGATGCACTGGGACTCCTGACCTTCAGTCTCTAAAGGAAAAGCACCTCATCATTTGCACCCAAGCTTGGTCAGTGCAGATTGGCAGGTAACCCTATTCAGCAGTTAGATTTCTTTGTAAATACCTAACAGTATTACATAAAATTCCAAATGTACAGTGTTTTTCATGCCGCTTCTCTGGCGCCGAGTCTGCCAGGCTCTTCGGACCAATAGATCTAAAAAGACTCTTAGCCCTCCTAACTCCTCTGAGACTGCCCCACCTATTCTTTCTCTATACCATACGCATTTTCTCTTAAACCTGACTTGGGAGTTGTTTTGAAGTATTTTTTGCTTGCACGTGTGTTTGCATGCATGCATGTAATATGTCATGTTGCGTACAATCTGTCGTATGTCTGTGTGATAAAAGGTCTTAAGGAATTCCATTCAATTTGGTTTATAAAAAAAGAGCACTGGGTCCAGCAGGTGGCGTGGTAGTTAAGGTGCTGGATACGCCCACATGGCTGACCACAGTT